AAGCAAACGGGGAAAACAAAATCAAAGCAAGGCACAAGGGGGTTGTTCCTCACTTTCCCCATCCTGACTAAAGAAAAGATGTTTTTCCTACTTGTTCTATTTTTGACTCTCTTTCTTCTCGCATAAGAAAAGACCCATTAGCCCCTTCTTGAGTGCATTGCCTTTAACATTTCATAGGGACTCACTGCCTTCTGACTTCACTCCATTTGCCTTCTGATTTCACTGTCTTACTATTCCTCCATCTGCTGGGAATGTATAACTACAATCAATCAAAATACACCATAAATAAATGCACCTTTAGTGTTCTGTTTACGCTAACCTTCAGGAACCGGGAACTAGCATCACACAGAAGGCTGCCTAAGCTTTATCTCCAAATTGTAGCACAGGAAAACAATTTCCCGTGCTGCAAGGGGCATTTGAATCGCATGCTTCCCTCTTCTGCTTTTTATTGCACACCATTTAAGAGTCCTGAGCCTGCATCAAATTCTCCGTGACCCAGCTCTAAGCATTCCACTTAGTTAGCCTAAACCTCTTTACATTCCTCAACTCTGATCTGCTAATCCCCCATAAATCACCACTGTTTCTCAACGAACTCAAGCCAGTGTTAAGATTTATGTGGAAAGGATTTGTCATTTCCCACCAGCTTTAACCTGAACCAAGATCAGTGAGTGCTGGGGCATGGCAGAAAAAGCAGGAGCAGCAACAAAAGGGGGAAGGTTTGGCACTAGAGACCAAACTATTTGTTTTGCAGATGAAGGGATTTGGGGCTACAAACAGGAATGTTTCCAATGCTGTTTCCATCAGGATGATCCCAGTAGGGAAGAGCCTTGGGGGAGTTGAAGTGCATTTCATCAAACCATAGGCACTGTGTATGTCCAATGCCTTTGCTCAGTGGGTGCTGGGACTGTGGGATTGCAGCTGGGGATGGCCCAGACCCACATGGGCACATGCAGCCTTCACAGTGTGCAGAGAGCACGGGGAGCTCAGTCCTTTGGTGCTTGACCCCTGGTGTGCAGGGCGGATGAAGCACATCTACACTTTGTGTGTCCCTCCATTGGGTCTGGTTTGTTTTCCTTGGTTTAGGTGCTCACACTACCACCAACACAGACACTGAGGTTTCTTTCTGGGCTGCTGCAGGGTGGTTTTCTTGTCTCTCCTCTGTTGTTGCCATGTTTTCTTTTCACATCCCATAAGCAGGGATGCAGTCCCTAACTGCACCCGCAGGGTGGGACTCAGCCCCTTCCCACCAGGTTGTTTTGACTCTCCCCATGCTCCTGCTGCAGGGCACAGCATTTACATCTTTATTCCATCTCTTCAAATCTAAGTTTTTTTTTGCTGTAGAATACGATCTCTGCTCTTCACACCCAACCCGCAGCCCCTCCTGGAGGCTGAGTCATGTTCCCTGTGGCTACCAAGGCCCTGTAGCTAGGAAGCTCAACCAGCCCTGGCCTCAGCAGCATCTGCTTTGGGGAGCCTGTGTCTGTGCCCCTCCTGGGGTCCACAAACCCTCCCTTGGTGCTCGATGTCCTCTCCTGAGGCTGCACTGGCACCCAGCTGGAATTCCTCATGAGGTCTCAAGGACCTGGTCCTTGCACCCACTCCTTTATTCAGTGCAATTCCCATGAAGGTCAATTTCATGGACAGAACCATCATCAGAGTGTTATATAGACATAAAGATTAGCCACGGTGTCCTGTGCATCTGTGGTACTGCATTCACATGGATGCCAGCAGTCAAACTCCTGCAAACAAATGATCCCAGGGGTCACATGGATGGGTTTGGAGCGTGATAAATGGCATGTTTTCAATGAACATTTAGCATTCCCAAAACCTGAATGGGACCGTTCAGGACCTATCTGCACAGGCATACAGAGCTTGTCTGGGGAAAGGACTTTGATGCTGGCTTAAGTTGCATCTGTGTGGTGGGGGTTGATCTGGCTGGATTGAAGCTGGCAAGATGTGGTAGTGAGACATGGCATCAGCAGCCAGCAGCTGTTCCCAAGATAGAATGAACATCTTCATCTTATCCCATAAAGGGTATAAATAATAACAGAAATAGCCACCTTGGGCATGAACCACTAGAGGTGAATCCGTTGCTCCTTTTAACAGTGTGTTTTGTGCTGTTTCCTTGGCTTCATCTGGGCTCTCATTCAGGCTGACCTTTACACTGAATCAAACGAAGTTGTGGCTTTTGCTCAGTATTTTTGTTGGTGTGACTGACTGGAATTTGAAGGAAAGCCCTTCAAAACAAGGCATGTTCCTCTGCAAGTTTTGTGATTTTAAATCTTGAGCTTGACCCACAAGGGGTCAAAAGACACATGCAGGTGAAAGGGAAGCAAAGGCACCTGTAAGGGTGCCTTTAAGGTCCCTGTCTCTTGTTAGTTTCCTGCCATGTTTCACTTGTTTCTGTGTGTGTCAGCTCTCCCCCACTCTTCCTCCATTCTTATCCTTTTTCATTTGCTCTTTACTTGTGTTTGATGTTTTCTTCCCTCCTTCATATCCCATTCTTGCCCTTCCCCTTTCTGCTTTGGAAAGCACTACTCCAACATCAGTGCATTTGTACCTTCTGGACTTGCACGGGATGGTGAAACGCCAGCTTCCCAGGGGTACCATCAGGAGACCAATGCCCCCAGCCTCCATGAGGCCCTGCTGTAGCATCCCATCTCCCATCTGGTAACACTTGCTTAAATGTTTTCTGCCTAAGCTCAAATACTTGAGAGGGGAGCCTTGTTTTAACTCCAGCCTCTATGCTGCTGCTCACCTTTCCCACATTGGTGAAGGCCACGCAGCTTTCCCTGCACTTGGGCTCTTGGAGGAAGAGCTGGATTTAGAAAGACAAGGTCCTGGCTTATTCCCAGGACTTAACTCTCATTCACCTTCTGGATCACCCCAAAACTAGGAGTTGGAGTAGCTCTGTGCAGTTAAATAGTGGCAGTAGATGTGCAAAATAGGCAGCACAGCAGTGAGAGCTGAGCCAGGCTGCCTGGTGGGGCTGCTGGGGGACCAGTGTTAACGCAGTTTGTTTTAGCAATGAAGCACTTACAGCTCATATTCTACCCCTTGTGCAGCAGGCCAGCTCTAGTTCTGCCTCAGTTCTTACCTCAAAGCAGAATTTCACAGCCAGCTCTAGAATTTCAGTTGCTTCCAGTTAAATACCCAGAATGGTTCTGGTTTTGAGACGTAAGCTGATGACAGTACATTTCAGAAATGCATGAGCATTCAGCATTTGTTCTGCTTGATGAGCTGCTTCTCCTGGCTCTGTGGCTAGAACAGATTAGCAAAACGCAGCTTAGCTACCCTTTCCATACCACTCTTGCCCTGTTCTCATTGCTTCAGAGGGTCAACCTTTCAGTTCAAGCCAAATCACTTTATTCTCATTCTAATTCCCATGAAAGAAATCTCAGATTTTCATTTCTAGTGCTTGTTAACAGGGACAATATTGATGGGGTCCAAGAGAAAATGCTTTGCTGGATAAAGCTGGATGCAGGGGGGTGAGAGGAGCAGAAACAGTAGTGAGGAGGGCAAACAAAGCAGTAAGGAGGGCAAACAAGGCAATGAGGAGGAGCTGGCGAAGCACCCGTAAGGAAGCGCTTTTGGGCTGATGGCTGGCCAGACCAAAGCTGGGAACTCTGAGCACAGAGGCTTGTTCAGTTCACTCTGTGTGTTGGGAAATAGGGGCCTTTTATGATCCTGGTAAATAAGCAGCGTGTGTCACATATTGTGTAACTCCATCATCCATTTGTTCTAAAAGGAAGGGAAAAAAAATCAGACAATAGCCAGAAAATCGCAAGCTGCTTTGTTCGTAGGATAAAATAACTGTATGGTACACCAAGCCAGCAAGCCTTTTAAAACAGCATAGGTTTCAAACCTGTACTCTGCAGCCCAGACATGGTGCACAGTAAGTTGCAGTGTGACTTACGGGAGGCAGCATTATTGCTCACTCTGGCGTCTGTCCCATCTCCTCCCATTTGGTTGCTCAAAGGCAGTGGTGGGGACAGCGTGTCACCCATAGGTTACACAGTACCTACAGGAACATCAAATGGTTCCAGAAATGTGGCTTCTGGGAGCAATCAGATTATGAACATTTCTGGGAACCAGGTCCCTGAGGATTTCCAAGGGAAGACTAAGCCACTTTATTCTTCTCAAGACCAAATGATGCAGGAGTGGAGCCAGCTGAGCACCTTTTCCCCACCTCTATCATAGTAAAGATGTCTAAGTTCTGTTATATATATTAGTGTAGCTCCTTTAGATTTAATTTAAGCCACATGACCTTGCATTTAGAGAGCCTGCCCTTGTCTATAATCTAATCAGCTCAGTCAAGAGGAATAGTTGGACAAGGATGAATGTGGGCCCAAGAGGCTGAAATTGGATTGTGTGCAATTGCATCTGTGGATTTATAGCAGAAATTTACAGCAGAAAGAGGGGATTTTTATCTTCTCAAGTGCCCAACAGGAGGGAAAGTTAATGGCTGCCACATTTATTGCACAAAATCTTGCAAAGACCCATTGAGTTGTGTCATTAGATGGATGGAACAAGCATCAGTGGGCCAATGAATTGGTTAATATACAAGTGGAAGAAAAATCTTGCTAAAGCCATTCTGTGTTGGTTGGTGGGACCGTGTCACGGTGGAATTCATAAACAAGACTGTAGGAAAATGTGAGGGATGGTTTTGTACCCTTTGAGGCCACTGAAATGAAGTTTTCCATAATGCATCTTGTACTCTGCTGCTGACATCGCTCAAAGCCATTTCAGTTCCTTCAGCCCTGTCAGGGACGTCAGACTGCTCACATCCCACCCTGGGCCCCCCTCCTCCTTCTGCCTTATCAGCATTACGCCTGGTCCTCACGACTGATCAGCATCCAGGGCTTTGTTTGCTGCATGGCAGAAATGATGCATTTGGCCCGACACGGGCCACGGGGAAGACGCACATACATCTTGTGATCTCAAATGGCAACTTCACTGCTGTTTACGTTCCCCTCCCGCTGTGCTAGATGCTGTACAAATCACCCTCAAAACCCAGACCCAGTGCCAGGAACTGAAATGTAAGGGCAGATAGTAGGGGACAGACATGGACAGAGAGAGAGATGCAAAGAAAGAATGAGGTGAGCTTACTTATTTTAACTTATTCCATGTAGACATTTGAGTTTGTGTATGAGCTTGTACGAGAAGTTTGTTTGTGCTGGCGTAAGGGCCTCAAATCATTGCATTCACATTTCCAGCTCTGGGTAGTAACATTTTGAATGTAAAATTAAGCAAATATTTTACTTTAAGTCACAAAACCCAAGTCTATTCACACTGGGTTTTGGGAAACCTTTATAAAAACAACATAACACGAGATTGCATCTGAACCGCTTGGCAGCCTGCCTCTAATGGCAACCAGGAGGTTTATTGTTGTGAATTAGTTATTTAGTAGAAGCTGAAAGTGTGACAAAATAATGACAAGAGGGTTTTTTATTTGCAGAAAGTCAAAGCTGATAGTTCTCAGCAGGAACACGCTGTACAATGTTAGAGCAAAGGCTGCACCAAGAGAAGCGCAAACATTAGAACCCAACTGGTGAGAAGTGAGAACAAGGAGAATAAACATGTGACAGGCATAAACCAGAAGAGCAGTCAGAAGACTTGTGATGGTAAAGGATTTCTTTATTCTATTCCATGAAAATCTTTCCTACTACCTTGTAATTGCATGAAGGAAAAACAGAGACAACTGAAGAAAAGGACCAAGAAAGAGACTTCCTCTGTTCTGGGTACCCCGAGTGCGCAGCTTTGCTCATGGACCCTGAGGGCATTGTTAGTGTGAGTCCTATTCCTTGTGAAGGAAGCAAGCTGGAGAAATAATGAGTTGGAATGAAGGGGCTGTTGGCACAATGTTATGATTATTTGAGGAAATAATGTGATATGAAGATTAGCACATAGGATAATAGCTATTGCATATAGCACTGTTTTATGGTCCATTCTCTGTTGCTTAACATTATTGCTCATTCTGTGTCAGGCACTATTAAACTGAGTTTTAAAAGGAGGCCCTTTGCCTTGCTCTAGTGTTGGCGCTTTGGTGTATTGTTAAGCCTTACAGTCAGTGTGTCTCCGTGCATAATGTAACACTTACTGGTTTGAACTGTAATTCGGTTTTATAATCTTTTACTACTGTGAGACATTGTCCTTTATGGAATTCCCATAACCTCAAACTCTATTTTCTCATAAAAACAAACCAAAACAGTTCTTCCCTGCCCTTTATAAATCAGGGTAGCCTATTGCCTCTCCACAGAGGACACGGACATCTCAGTGTCATCTTCTCACTGCAAATTAAGAATCTATATTCTCCTTTGATGTCTGTGGTAGGAAGGAAACCGCCTGTGGCTCAGCAGCAGTAAACTTGGGTGACACCAGTCTTTATGCAGACCTATGGGATCCTGAATGCAGCTGGCTCTTGTTGTTCACTTTCCTCTGCAAGGACTCAAACAGGGAGACCCCACGCTGAGGCCAGCCTCATTAGATGTCTCCAGTCCATCACAAAGCCAGATATGATGTTGCCACATATGGACCTGGTCCTGTGTAATGGCAGGAAAGATACTTGGGAGGTATAAAATCCAGTTAGAAACTCAGATATATTAATCCTTGCCACATAGCTATGAAGACCTTGCCAACTTAGAGAATCTGTGTATTTTTAAATAAAGCATACAATCTGCCTTTTATAAAGAAATAAACTCAAATAGCAGTCCTTTTTAGCTGCAATCAGTTCGGAGCCTCTGGGAGGTTTTGCATCTTAAAATAGTACAAGCTCAAGTTAAACATGTTAAATTAATACTTGTCCCTGCCCCTCTGACATCCCTGGTGCGCAGTGCTCTCCAGGAGTTATGTTGTCTCTGGTCCCACTCCAAACCCGCTATGGGCCACATTTTGCAGCATTGTGGTGTCTGTATGCAGAAGATCTTCAAGAGGGTGAAGAGAGGGTGCAGGTGAGCACCCATGCTGTCTGAACCCACCCTGGTGGCATGTGTAGGTCTTTCTTCTTATCAGGAGTTTTGGACCATCATGTCATTAGAGGTGCGTGTGATCTGGAGCCCCAGACCCTGATCTGGCCATTGGAGAAGACTATGTTACTAATACAGAATGGTGCCTGCAGTGTCAGCCCTGGACCAAATGCTTCTGGGACCGTAGGAAAGCTCAGAGTTGAGTCAGTCCTCATCAGGACAAAATGATGGATCAGTCCCTGTGCAGCCATTCCCTGGTTCAAGTCCAATTGTGGGTCCTTGAATGTGACTGCAGTGGGGTTTTTAATCCGCTGTCCCAGGCTGCTTGAAGACTACAGTTTAGGTTTCATGTTGGTCTTGTAAGCCAAGGGGCAAGGGATGAGCATTCAAGACCCACATTTTCTTTGGGCTGCCAGGCTCACTTAGACCCAGGTTCAAGGGGAGCTGTCCTCTTATGTGACTGCAGATCAATGGTGTTACTATCCTCCAGCATCCCAAGGGGATGGTGATGAACATGCACATTTGTGAGGGGTTGTCCAGAGAGAATTAGTCCCTGTTTTCAGTATTCAGCAGGCAGCTGTTTCCCAAAGGACAACATGGGGGTAATCCTATTTGCTGCTATCCGCATTTTCTCCTGCAGATTCAAGCTCCTGGGAACATCTTCACACAGAACAAATCTGAAAATACACTGCTTTCTCTGCTGTTGCCTGGGATGAGATGGAAGGAATACCTCATGTCCAGTGATCTGAGAGCTAAGTTTGGCTCTGTTTCCCCTTGCAAAATCTGTGCCAAAGAAACAGATCTTTGAGGGCATTAAGTTCTATTAGTCTTAAAAAAACATGTAGGGAGAGTGGCTATTTATGTTTGTGAGTGTCACCAACTGCTTGAATTCCCTGTTTACCTCTCTGCTGGGGCACCATATTCCCAGTCTCCATCTCACAGCTGGCAATGGTCTGGTGGGGACAGGTCATGCCTTATTGGCATAAGTCTCAGGACCTTGGCACACGCAGCAGCCTAACACTCCTGCTGGGTCTGCAGAGGAAGTACGGGCAGAGATGGAGTTCTATTTGTTTGGGAAGCACTCAAACACCAGGGAGATGAAGGCAGCACAAGCACCTAGGTAAATAGAAAAGCCTTTGCTAACAGGGAGCAGTAATGCCTGATGAGTCATTCTGCTGCCCTGCAGTGTTGTTATCACTTTTGCATTGTGCAATCAAAACCTATGAAGTTGGCAATAAAAGTAATGAGCGATGAGATGAATCAGCCTCTGCCTGGTTATGCAGGAGGCAGCTGTGCTTTAGAGATACTCTGTGGATTGTAGGGGGTTGCTTTCAAAGTGAAATTCCAGATTATCCTATTTCTTTTGAGCTTCAAGGAGATTCAGACCTTGGTTGGGATGCCTCAGTGTGGACCTTTCCTTAATTAAAACTGTATCTAGTGTCTACTGTGAATAATGTCTCCTGTTTCTCCATGACAATGTGCCTCTAAGGGTTAATGAGGCACAGGAAGAGACCACCTAATTCGTTCACCACTGCAGTATGAACAGCCTGAAACTGCTGTGGGCTAGCAGCTCCTCTCCTCCACATAATGAGCTGTAACTCAATATATATAAGCAGCCATAGGGGATGTTCTTCCCTTATCTGACTCTGAAAACACATAGTGTAAGGTAGGCTTTAAGGGATAAAACCTTTCACCAAAATGGGATCCCTCTTCCTCCACCCTTCCACCCTTTTTAGTACTGACCCTGAGATGAACTTTATTTAGACGAGTCTCTGCTCATATCCACTTGTCTTTGCCTATTGGGATTTTGGACGGGTTCATGATGAAAGAGACCATTTCTGTCAAAGAAACTGTGCTTCCTGCATATTTCTGGTTCTTACTGAAAGTTTTCTTTTCCTGTGGGATTTCTGGAGCTGTGCTTTAAATGCAGGTATTCAGCTTTGTTCAAGGTAAACACAGAAGCAGCAAGAACACGCTTCAGCCCTGAGCTTTTGGAGCTTCAGCCACCATTTATTCTAATAAATGTCACTTTCAGTAAAGAGAAGCCAAACCCAAATCTCTGCAAGACCAAGTTTGTATCCAGCCTTCACGGTTCAGTCCTGCTCTTGTATGGGCTGGCTCTCACTGCCACTGAGCTGAGAGAGATCCAGCTTTGAATGCAGGCCTAATGTCTGTGGTTTGGGCCCATGTCACATTATTAGTCATATCCTCATCATATCACTGGTTTTGGTCAGTCACTTCCATTTAGAGAATGGATTTCTCATATCAGTCTCCATCTCTTATCCCAGTTGGTAATGACTCTACCCCAGCATTGGCTCCAACTTCAGTTACTGACAAATATACATAGGTATTCACATTCCTTTAAGCTGCTTACTTTCAAATATCCTGTCTTCTTCTCCATCAGCCATCTCAGTTGTCTTTAGCAGGTAACTCTATACGTGTGCAAGACAATGGTGGATGTTAGCTTCTTTTCTCTACCTCATGTCACTCCATCATTATGGATGGAGGTTTTCTTCTTTCTCTATCCAGCCAGGGTCCTACTCTTTCACTCCTTTTTACCCATGTTTTTGCAGCTCAGCTCTACAAGGATTCTCCATTTGCTGCTTCACTTCCCTACACTGCACAGGAGCTTGCTTCTTTCCTCCTCCATACCCACTGCTCCCCTAACTACTGGTGGTGAGATGAAGAGTGGGCTGGGGAGCAGAGATTTTTCATTTCTTCATCTGTCTTTTGGAACTGAAAATACGTATAAGAACTGTTTAGTGAGCCACAGAAGCCTTTGCAGACTGGTGGAATTACGTATTGAATGTGAAATGAATCTTGGTTCATGAAGGAAAGGTTTTATATGTCCATTCAAAAATACAGATGTTCCTCCAGCAACGCTCGGTATCACTGGGTTCTTTATCAACAGATAGAAAACACATGTGCCTTTCTATTGGCAGGAAGTCATGAGATTTTTTGTCTCTAGTAGCTGAAAGAGCAGCACTTCTTTGTGTTTACAGCTCCCTAATACACCCTATAACTGGCTTCAGGACCTTAACCCAATGAGTGGGAGAGGGAAGGTCATTACTTGTCACAGAACACACAATGAATCCTTTCAGCAGCACAGAAGAACCAGAAGACACAAGGCAGCAAAATCTGCCTTGACTTCATATAGGTTTGGTGGGACAACCACAACATTCTTCCTTTCTTACTTTGGTGCTCCCTAACCATTTCTTTCTTTTCCTTTGGCTTCAATTAATATCAAAAATAAAGCATAAAAAAGCTCCCAGAAATAGGTCTTTTAAGATAATGGGAGATGATTACAACACGAAAGCCAGTGGCAAAGAGAGGTCATCTTCAGCCTCAGACAAAATTAACTGCACAAGACTGTATGGTTCAGTGGGTGGACAGTTGAACTTTCTACCTTTCACAGGGCTCTACCAGACACTACTGAAAGCCACTGGAACTTGTTTTATCTGCCTTTGGCTATTAAAAAATAAGCAGTTTGACCTTTTAGGCTTCCACTCTAGGCAATGGAGAAAGGCACCTTGAAAAGACAATTCAACCTAGATGTTTCTAAGCTGCTCTCTGAAGGTAACCACAAATTGTCTGTAGAGGAACACAAAATTACTAGTCTAGCCTTGATCTTTAGTTTTTAGATGGCTTAAACTTACTCTAATAAATCCTGTTTGTATTGCCCAGACCTGTAGTGACCCAAAGTTTCTGCTGCCTTATGGCTGGTTTGATGGCTTTGAATTGGCAAGTGTTGCAGTGGATCACATCACAAAAGTCCTTCTTTGCTGCTGGTCCCATTTGAGCAGCATGGACACCAGATTAGCTATTTATTTGTGTATAGGACAGTTCAGTCCAGGGAGTACAGATGCAAAATGGGATACACCAACTGGTCAGTTGTCAGTGTTATTTACCTGGTGTGGGCAGACTGTGTCTGCACCGTTCAGTGGTGTCCACATTTTGGAAATATGATGGAATCATTTTTATCACTTACTCTAAGGGCTGACAGATCCGTCTGCCTTGTACCACTCCTGAAGCAAGGGAGTTGTTCTAGTATGGTGGCTTTTGTAAGGGTTATTTGCAGCTCAGATGCCATGAACAGTGTGATAGTTCCTCCATAAACACCATCACGAGGTGCTTGTGACAGAGCTATGAACTGTGCAGTGGTCCTCCAAGTACGAACTTTGAAGCCTAAACCATTGCCATGATCTTTTCTATGCCCTTACACAGCCTTGGTGAGGTAGCATGGGCAATATATGAGACGTGTGGGACAAGTATAGATGTGCGCAAACAAACCAAGCCTATCTCCTGAAGACATGGAGGTGGTGCGGCCTTTCGAGGAAGATGCACCCTTAGTTTTGCTCTCATCTCTCACAGGAGGCTGAACAGGAGGCTCATGGGGTCAGGGTGGGCTGAAGGAGAGTGCTTTCAATGGCCAATAGGTCCCTAGCAGCCAATATGAACATGCTTGGGAATCTGTGAGGCTGCTCATTGTGTGCCTTTGCAGCTGCCCTTCTCTGGCATGAAGTCTACACCCTCCTCAAATAAACAGCTTTTTAAAGAGAGCTGGAACAAAAGTACCAGAGAGAAGCATCAAGGAAAGCAGCAAGTAGCAACAGAGGCTGCAGAGAGACGAACCCGCTAACCACCATAAGTAGATAAAAGGAGATGCTTTCTTCATACTGTCAACTGAGTAAATAGCTCCATTGTCACTGGGGTGTTATTTG